TTAACCTCCCTCTAACACTCTAAACATTTTATTAAGAAGTTAATCTTTGAAATATTACAGAGAGACCCTTGAGTGGGCAAGAAAATACAAAAAACAGAACATTACAGAGTATGGGCCCAGAATAAGGCCCATTACAGAGGGAAACATAACATAACATGAAATGACAGTCTATGGGCCATTTGGCCCATCTCCTCTACAGTAACAATGTTTTAGATACGCAGAGTAATAGTGTTATTGCCCACCTAATAGACATGACCAAAACTTTAAGCCAGCTTGAAATTCTTTTCAAACATCAATTTAAATATTAGTTTTTATTGTATAATAAATTATTCGGTTGATCTATTATAATCATTTGCAATTTCTATGAGTTTGAATTATGCTTGAACTTCATCATGCCATTTTGAGGACTTGGAACAAGATAACAACTTAAAAGGGTCTACCTATGCATCTTTTATCATTACATAAAATAGTGTTCTATATTTTTGAATATTTCACAATGTTTCTACCAGGTCTACAATTTGCTTCTTTTATAACTCGTTACATAGGATAAAATCTAAAGAGACTCGCTTGGCTAATTGGTTTTGCAAAATCAGACAGTGTTTAATGGGCTTTAGCATACATGACACAAGGTCCTAACTATAGAATAATGAACTTTTCCAAACAACTGCAAATAAATAGTCTGCAAATGAACACAGCATAAAATTAATCTGAGCAATTAGTAGCAAAAGTAACCTTAACCATCAAAGTAAGAATAATAAAACTAGATCTACCAATTGTATTGGCAAGATGTGCATTGACAATATTGATGAAACGATCCTCCGAGTAGTCTCCATCACTTCCAAATTCCACTTCCCTGAGGAAGAAATACCTTACTGCATCAGATCCAAATCTGTTCACCAAATCCTTTGGATCAAGTGTGTTACCAAGTGACTTCCCCATCTTCATGCCATCCTAAAATTTTCAAAATAAAAGGCATAGCTACATGAAATGAAAATATATATAAGATATAATATCAGAACTTACCACTCAGATATTTAACGTCATTATAAGTTGAGTAAACACAAATTGCATTGTAGAATGTACAACAGATGAGAGACAACATGATCATAATTTTTGCTTGCATATGGCCCTAAAAGCTTTTTTTATCACAAAAAAAAAAAAAAATCAAAACACTAAGGATGAAAAACCAAACTAACAAAGAGATTTACAAGTGTTGCACAATATTTATTGAAGACCTTGAAGAATAGACTTTCTGGTTCAAGTTGATTTTGGGTGGAAATTGTAGTTGAAAATGTTGGAGGGAGTAGTAGTTAAAGAGGTGGGGAGGTTGAAAGAGAGATTGCGATTCCTACGTGGAGCACTGGGCAAGTTCAGGATGGAGGAGATTTAGTTTTTCTTGTGTTAGAAGGTTGCGAGCTTGCTTGTTTCTGTTTAGCTTCAGAAGAAAGAAGGATATGGAAACAGCTCTTGAAAGAGAAATTAGGTTTTAAGAAATCCAGAAATAAGGTTGGATAGGAAGACGCCATCGGCCATTGTTAGAGCGAATTGTTTTTTTTTTATTTTTTGAATGGTTAAATCTGGTGGCATTTGGTTCGATTGCAACAGAACACCAAGGGGCACAGTTCCTGATAACAAGATGTAAAATATTGGAAAGAAAGAACACAGAACAAGCAAGAAACCATGGAAAACTCCCCAATAATCTCACAAAGTCTAAAAAACTAAACTGAATCAAACAAACTGATTCTAGTCCCAGACATCCCTACCAACCAAACATCTCCCAATCCCCCCATGTCCCCAGTTCCCAGGTGATCATCCTCAAATTCAAGCATAGTTCAACCAGAAAATGTCATTCAGCACATAAAAGCTTCCCTGTGGGGTTGGCATCAAATGGAACATCTGACTGAATTTGAGAGTGTGTTGTTCGCTGGCGAACTGGAGATTACCACTAACGAAGAGGAGCATGCCACCAGCAGGGCCACAGGGCTAGCAGTCGTTGGTGGAGATGCTGTGCTGGCACTGCTGGAAGGGGAGGCCGGTGAGGTGGGTTACAATATTCTGAGCGCCTTGGATCTTCTGGCCCTCGAATGTGAGCATTGATCCCTCCTGATACAAGTTAGCCAGCCCTGCCTGGTTCGCATCGAATGTGGAGTAGTAGTGCTCCACAAATGCCTTCGCTACTAAATCTGGATCCATCTTCGCTGTTAATCGTAATCCATTCCACGGCCGCTCACCTTCTTACTTCCCTCTCTCTCTCTCTTGTTCGTCTCTCTCTCCCTTATAGTCTTATAGTCTCTTAGCTTTGGTTTTGCAGCTGCGGGCGGCCAGCACAAAAAGGTTGCAGACAAAACTACGTTTGGATTGATGTTGTGATCTTTCCTGAGAGAGAGACGAGAGAGAGAGAGAGAAGATAAGAGAGAGAGAGAGGAGAAGAGGATGAAGAGGAGAAGAGAAGAGAGAGAGAGAAGTTCAATTGATAATCAAAGACAAGGGCTGGTGGCTACCAGCTTGTTATTTATATTCACTTAAAATAAGAAGATCAGTAGTTACAATAATGCCCCTGGCGGCAAATCCTAACACTAAACAAATAACAAGAAAGAAAAGAAAAAACTAGCTGACAGCACCTAGGTTGACTATGCTGACAGCATACTAACAGAGAACTAATAAATAAGTTTCACAACACTCCCCCCTCAAGTTGGGTTTTATATGTTTATCATGCCCAACTTGTCACACAACTTATTGTGTCGCGAGTATGGAAGTCCTTTTGTGAGGACATCAGCAAGTTGTTCCTTAGAGTTGACATAAGGGATGCAAATTTCCCTTTTTTCCAATTTTTCCCTTATGAAGTGTTTGTCCACTTCAATGTGTTTGGTCCTCTCTTGTTGTCACAGTAAAGAGACATAGGATTATGAACAGAAAATCCAAGCTCCCCTAGAAGATTTTTCAGCCAAAGAACTCCAGCCACCCCATGTGCCATAGCTCTATACTCCGCTTCAGCACTTGACCTTGTTTACCACACTTTGTTTCTTGTTTTTCCATGTCACTAGGTTTCCTCCCACAAATGTGCAATACCCACTTGTGGACTTTCTGTCATCCACAGCACCTGCCCAATCAGCATCTGTAAAGACTTCCACCTTCAGATGATTATGCTTACTAAATAGTAGACTTGTTCCTGGATACTTTTTTAAGTATCTAAGAACTCTTTCTGCTGCCTCCAAATGAGGTTTCTTAGGAGAGTGCAGAATTGGCTTAGGACCTCAACCGAATAGACAATGTCTAGACGAGTCATGGACAAATAAATCAACTTCCCCACTAACCTTTGGAACTGTTTTACATCTTTCAGAGGTTCACCATCACAGTTACCCAATTTATGATCAACATCCATAGGAGTATCTACTGGCCTTGCACCTAACTTGCATGTCTCTTGTAACAGATCAAGAGTGTACTTCCTTTGAGAAATGAAGATACCCCTTTTTGAGCAGGCAACTTCGATTCCAGGAAAATACTTTAGAGGACCTAGATCATTCACTTCAAATTTAGATGCAAGGAATTGTTTCAACTGTTGTATTTCTAAACTCCAATTTCCTGTAATGATGAATATCATCCACATATACTATCAAAACAGCAACTTGTTCCTGACATCTCTTCACAAAGAGTGTGTGATTGGACTGACATTGCTTGAACCCTACTTGCTGAACTGCCATATGAAACTTACTGAACCAAGCCCCGGGAGATTGTTTCAAACCATAGAGAGACTTTCTTAGCTTACACACCTTATTTTCAATTCCCAATCAAGATTCACAGCTAATGATAAAAGAACTCAGATTGAGTTCATCTTAGCTACCGGAGCAAATGTCTCATCATAGTCAACTTCGTACACTTGAGCGTACCCCTTCGCTACTAATCTTGCTTTATATCTTTCAACTGTCCCGTCCGCCTTGTGTTTAACTGTAAACACCCACTTACACCCCACTGGGTCTTTCCCCCTTGAAAGATCCACCAATTCCCAAGTTTGATTTTTATGGAGGGCATTAATCTCCTCCTTCATAGCATATGTCCATTCAGGGTATTTTAAGGCTTATGCAACATTTTCTGGCTACAGGGATGCAATTAACTGCAAATAGAAAGGCTCGGTATGAGGGGAAAATGTGATCATAGGAGACACACTAGGTGATGGGGTGTTTGGTAGTGCATGACCTAACTCCCTTTCTTTGAGCAATAGGAATATCAAGGTCATCCACAGTAAGAGTAGGGGTGTCAATAGGTGTAGCAGGGTTTGGACTTACCTCTTGGGAGTCTGACGATCTTGGAAGTTTAGTGTTTGGTAGTTCCACATCTTTGTTACATTGCTGATCTCTACGGCGTGTACGTTGGAAGACACGAAAGGGGGGCCAAGTCCGGAATAGAAGGAAGAGAGACTTGGCGGACCTGAACCTGCTTCTCCTCTTCCACACTACTCTCCCCCTAAGGAGAAGTAGGGAAGAACGGTTCAGACTCAAAGAAGGACACATCCATAGAGACAAAAAATTTATGACTAACGAGGTCAAAGCACTGATACCCCTTTTGAGAGGAGAGATACCCCAGAAAGATACAAGGAATGGACCAAGGGTCTAACTTACCCTGAGACGGAGACAAATCATGGACAAAGGCACAACAACCAAAGACTCTCATGGGAATGGAAAATAAAGGAGACTGAGGGAACAACAACTGATGAGGGGCCATGTAGTTCAGCACTCTGGAGGGCATGCGATTGATGACATAAGTAGCTGCAAGTATAGCATCCATCCAAAACCTTTTTGGAACATTTATGTGTAACATCATCCCTTGAGCTACCTCAAGAAGGTGTTTGTTTTTTCTTTCGGAAACACCATTTTGTTGCAGTGTTCTTGCGCATGAGCTCCTATGAATAGATCCATGGGAGGCAAAGAAATCATTAAGCTCACCATGGAAACATTCCTTGGCATTATCTGATTGAAAGATTTGTATTTCAACATGGAACTGCATAAACACCATCCTCTGGAATTCTTTCACGATCTTTGGAACTTCATCTCTGCTACGCATCGGGAATACCCATGTATAGTAGGATAAATCATCGATCAAAGTGATAAAGCACTTATACCCCGCCCTCAGAGATTATAGTAGTAAGCCCCCATACATCAGAATACACGATATGAAAAGGAAAACTGGATCTTTTATTACTTGAATGAAAAGTTGTTCTACATTGTTTGCTTAACTGGCATGTTTGACACTGAAAATCGGACAATGAACATGACTTAAAATAAAACGGAAACAAAGACTTCACTATTTCAAATGAAACATGACCTAACCGACTATGCCACAAAAAAGTTTGACTCTTATTTGACTGCTATATGACTCCGAGGACGACACCGAGAGACCAGCTTTGTTGTCGAGAATATAGAGACCATCCTTTAGGCTTCCTCTACCAATCGTCCTCCCAGAAATTAGATTCTGAAAAACACATGAACCAAGAAAAAAGGTTACACTACAGTTTAAAGAGTTTGTGATGCTACTGATTGAAAGCAAATTTATAAGAAGTTAGGGAACATGCAACACACTATTTAGGTTAAGGCCATGGGGAAGGGATATTGATCCTTGGCCTGCAATGGAGGAGAATGATCCATCTACAAGCCTCACTTTATCCCTTCCAGACAAAAGGCTATAAATCTTAAACAAATTTGGCTTACCGGTCATGTGGTTAGAGGCCCCTGAGTCAACGATCCAAGGGGAAATAGTGGTAGTAGTGACATGGAATGCAGAAGCCGCATTACCTGATGTAGATGCAAATGAAGTAGGAGTACCAGTAGTTGAACTATCCATTTGTCGTAAAGCCCTACCATACGACTCCAAGTGATCTCTGAAGGAATTCATGATATCTTCCTTGGGGTCAAAACTAGTAAAATGGTCACGAGTAGTACCAACAACCGAAGTATCTTGGGTTGCCACATGCGTTGCATTATGTGTTGTATTCGGCTTCTTCTGATCTTGCACTTTACCTTGTTCTTGGTTCTTCACTGCCCACTTGGGCTTCCCATGAATTTCCCAACATGTGTCACGTGAATGTCACGAGCGCCGACAGTGGGTACAAAACAACTTGTCTTTATCATCAGCCTTGTTAGAGTCACTTTTCTTCCCCATATTGCTATTACTCATTGCAGCCAATGCTACCTGTTGCTCCCCCTCAGTTGTAACCATCACACTCTGCCTACTTTCTTCAGATTGAACAAGGGCATATACCTCTTGAACCAAAGGCAACTCTTTGCTTCCTAAGATCTGAACTTTCTCAAGGGTTCATAAGCAGGGTTCAGTCCCAACAAGAAAGCAAACACCCACTACTGAGAAACCAGCTTCTTATAGGCCTTAGCATCACCATCATCATGTTTCCACTCTATAGCCCGATAGTGATCCAATTCTTTCCATACGGAAGTCAGGGCTGAATGATAGGCAGACAAACTACGATTTCCCTGTTTACAAGTTGAGGATTCAGCTTGCAACTGGTAAATCTTTGCATAATGCCTTTGCTCAAAATAGGTGGTTTTGGCATGTTCCCAAATCTTACTAGCGGTGTCTGCCCACATAAAGTTCTTCACATCGGGTTCCATGGCTGCAAGGAGCCAAAACATCACCATACTGTTTTCTTGGTCCCACCTATCATGTTCAGATGTCTCACACTTGGGTTCTTTCACTCTGCCATTTATGTAACCAGCTTTTTCCCTTGCTGTTACATAAAGTTTCACACATTTAGCCCATTCCAGGTAATGCAGGCCATTTAAAGGGGTAATTGGCATGGGAAACATCATGTGTTCACCCCCCCATACCAGTTGTACTACGAGTTGGTGTAACTCCAAATGATGTTGAATCATAGTTTGCCATTGAGAAAAAAGGGTCACAAATATATCAGACCAAATAACACACAAACAGAATGCTAAACTCCCAAGAATTTTCACTTCCAGAATGAGAAAGATACTGCTGAAATCAGTCCAGCAATTGTTCGGCCCTTAGAATAGCCCAATAATCAGTCCAGCAACTAGTCTTCTAACAGGCTACTGAAAACAGTCTACTAACAGCAATAGTTCGGCCACAAGCAGTCATTAACAAAGGCCTACTAACAGTTCGACACAGCACATGATTAAAAAAAACGCATACCCCTGTCCAGCACCTGTACAAAGGTGTAAACCTCAAAACCAAGGCCTTCAGAGCCCTTCACAGCATAGACCACAGAGAAAATGGGCAAACAAGAGAGGAAGAGAAGAGAGAGCTGGCGGCAGTGAGTGTTAGAGAGTAAGAGGTTTGAACCTTAACCCTCTCTAACACTCTAAACATCTTATTAATAAGTTAATCTTTGACAAATTACAGAAAGGCCCTTGAGTGAGCAGGAAAATACAAAAAACAGAATATTACAGAGTATGGGCCCAAAATAAGGCCCACAACAGAGAGAAGAAACATAACATAACATGAAATGACAGTCTATGGGCCATTCGGCCCATCTTCTCTACAGACACATACCCCTGTCCAGCACCTGTACGAAGGTGCAAACCCAGAAAAAAATTTTCACAGCATCGAACTAAGAGAGGAGAGTCATTCCAGCATCGCCCCTCTTCTATTAGGGTTTCCTTGGTGTTATGACCAAGGAAGAACCCAAAGAACAACAGCCGCAAGAACTCTGATCAGTCCGATTAGAATTCTTGGTCTTCCACATCCAAGAGATCAAGAGAAAAATAAAAAAAAGAACTGAGATTTAGATGAGAAAAAAATTTGAGCCTAGAATTATAGCTCTGATACCATGTGATCTTTCCTGAGAGAGAGAGAGAAGAGAAGAGAGAGAGAGAGAGAGGTTCGATTGAGAATCAAAGACAAGGGCTGGCGGCTACCAGCTTGTTATTTATATTCACTTAAAATTAGAAGATCAGAAGTTACAATAATGCCCCTGGGCGGCAAATCCTAACAATAAACAAATAACAAGAAAGAAAAGAAAAAACTAGCTGACAGCACCTAGGTTGACTAGGCTGACAGCATACTAACAGCATACAAACAGAGAACTAATAAATAAGTTTCATAACAGATGCTTATAGTGTCCCTTTGCATGCTTGGAGCACACGACGATCAATGCATTAGGCAATGCATGCAGGAGGTTCAAACGTTTTGATTATCACAATGGGACATGGGAGCAGATCCAATTTGTGCAACTCCTCATTGAAACAGAGGATATCAAGTCAATCCCTAGACAGTTAGATCTCATTTACTTGGGTGTGGTTTTTGAACTATGTATTGTAGTGGCAGGAAGCGGCACAATATTTCTCAGAAGTTGATAAGGTTGGAGAGGTGAAAGTTAAAGGGAATGAAGCTAATGAAAATTTTAGGCTTTTTCAAGGTGATAGGGGAGAGGAAAGGTCGTAGTGAGAGGTTGAAAATGAAGGTGACAGGTCGGGTCAGTATAGGGACCAAGTTTAAATTTCAAAAGATAAAAGGAGTTATGGTAAAAAATGAAAGGAGGAGGTTTTAGTGATGGGGTGATTTCTAACATGATCCCATTATGGCCCAATAAAATGTGGACAGGTCCCCTTCACAAGCACCAACATCCCAACTGAAGTGGCTAGCAAATAGAAAAACCACATCCTCACTTTTCATTACTCACCCAAGAAAGCCACATTCATGTGCTCATAACTTTGTAGAAGATAGATAGTTAAAGAAGAGATTGCAGGTATGCTAATCCCAAGATGAAATTAGAGGTCAAGTGGGGTACTTAATTCCAAGAATTTACATTGTATCAACCCTTAGGCCACAGCCATTCAAATCTTAACAATTGTTGAACCCAAGCCCACCATTGCAACCCTAGGTGCAATCTTTGTATAACATCATTCCCACAGCCTAAAGTACCTTCCATATCATTATTCCAATGATCTTTCATCCTAAGAGAGATCAAAAAAACAGGCCAGTTGATATGCCATGCCTAGCAGCAATAGTTTTTAACTACACTTTGTAGCCTAGAATGATGAGAGATGATGCATTTTGAATGTGATTCCATATTTTTCATCATCTTATTCTGGATTTCTGTTCATTGAAGATGCGCATCTTTCTTTTTTTTATTAAGTTGGTAAAAGGTAACAAATGAAACAGGGAATAAGCCCAACCCACGATACATCTAACAGAAGAAGCCCTGACAGACCACATAATAAAACCATCATGTGATGAGCTCACCTGGCCAAGAGGTCCAGAGCTCTATTATCCTCATGAAATATGAGAAATTATACCACATTATCTTTAAGTAGAGGGTCTGTCCAAGGGATTATACATCATAATTAGTTAATACAATCTCTACCATTGATGCAGTGTGGCGTTTATGGAGTTAACTACCTTTGTCAGAAATCCATGACCAAAGACCGTCCTAGGAATACTTAGCCCAGCTGACATTAGCATAGCTGGCCAGTAAACTGCATGGAACCGTAGGATGTCCTGCAGAATAAAACAAAAAAGAAAAATGATAAACATATTTCTATACAACATGAGATAGGGAAATATTCTTTAAAAAACTGAGACACCCTCCTACTAAAATTTCAGGAAATAAATGAAAAGTTAAACCCAAGTCACAAGATCATTTTAAATAAATTGTAAGAGAACAAAAAAAATGAGATTATTGTGCACAATTCTATGAAAAAGAAAAAAAAATGAAAACAGGATGCTTGTATTGTTGTTCTTCTTTAACTTTTACACGCATAAGGGCATTGAAGTCTTCAAATAAACATCAGTTCTAAGAACATATGCATAGAAAAGTGCAATTAGCAAGTTGAAATGCACTACAGAATAATAGTAGCAAAATATAATTAGTGTGTTCTCTTTCCTAACAGCAATTAAGCCATGTAAACCCAACCCAGGAAGAAGGAAAAAATTGATGAGAACCCGGTAACGGCCCAATCAGAACCAGGCCCATTACAGACTTTCGCTGCTAGGCCCAGGCCTCCCATCGAGCTGGTGTTTGGTCGTAAGAAGAGGAGCCACACCCATGCAGCCGTTAACACTCAGGCCACATCAGCCACATCTGATATCTGAGGACAACTGTTCATTCTACCAGTTAGTTAGAACAGACAATGAAACATAAATAGTATTTGCCTTCGACTCTCTCTCTCTCATTTCAGGAGGTTGAACTCCTCGAACAGGTTCCTGCAGTGAGCAGATCTCACCATTTGTGCTATCAGAGCCAGGTCGTCATCAAGCAGAGATGCCCCACACTCGTTCAGTGTCCATCGATGACAGGGTGAATAGTCTGGAGGTTGGCCTTCATCAAATGGCCTCGGACATGAAGGAGATGAAGGAGGCTCTGGATGTATAATCTCCAGGAGAGAACAGTTGGCGGCTGAAGGAAGAAACGCTGACCAAGAGAAGTCGAGTCAGGGTAGTCACCGTCGGGGACAGCCGTGGTCGGCGCGGGCGACCAAGATCAATTTCCCATCTTACGTTGGGGGAGATCCAATCCCTTGGATCTTCAAGGCTGAGCAATATTTTGAGTATCATGAGGTGCAGGGGCACCAAAGAGTAGCCATAGCTTCCATTCATTTAGATGGTGATGCCATACTCTGGTATCAATGGTTTCATTGAACCCACCCCCAAATCACTTGGTCTGATTTCACCGACGCTCTATGCATCCACTTCGGACCAACAGGTTACAAGAACTGTGATGAAGTCTTGTCGAAGCTAAAACAACCCGGCACAGTCTAGGATTACTAGTCGGAGTTCGAGAAATTAGCCTCCAGGGTTTTCGGGTGGCCGGAGAATGCGCTGGTTGGAAGTTTCATTGGTGGGTTGAGGGATGATATTCGTCTGGAAGTGAAGGCCCTACGCCCAACGACATAGACAGCAGCGATAGGGTTTGCAAGGTTGCATGAAGAGAGGTTGGACCGGGTAAGGAAAGCAATTCGACCCAGTGGACCTCTCCTGAGGACCCCCCTAGATCCGATGGGCTGTTGCCGAAGCATGCACCTGAAACGGGTGGGAACAGGCCCACCACTGAGACCATAGCTAGGGGTGGCAATTTTTCACCCAACCCGCTGAACCCACCCATTTACTTGGCGGGTTGGAAATGGGTTGATCACCCAACCCGCCCATTTAAATGGGTTGGGTTGGGTAGGGTTGTGGATAACCATTGGGTTAACCATTGCAAAAATAAGTACTAATTCCTTAGCCTTTTTTTTATTTTCTTCATTTGAATGAAATAATTTATAATTAATGCATTAATTTTCAATTAATTATTGACTAAATTTAGTTTTGTCTCGAATCAACACACTTCACCCAATTCGACATAAATCCAAATCAACTTGACTCGAGTCTGGACCAGCTCAACTTGGTCTAAATATGAACAGACCCGATCACCTCGGTCCGGTTCGTTCGGGTTGGTTAGCGGTCCGACCCAACATAGTACATGTCGATCCAGGTCGACCCGAATCCGAAACAGGCTAGTGCAGGATAGTTCGACACCCGGTTGCTTTGCCCGGTTTGGACCGTCCGGTCTTACCAATATTCGCACAACCCGACCCGAATCCGGACCGGCCCGATTTACTTCTCTTGACCCGCTTCGGTCCCAAACCCGTGCACAAACCTGATATGGGCCAGTCCAAGTCAATCCACCATTGGCTGAACCGGTCCGACTGGACTGATCTAGATCTAAACAGTTCAACCACCCTTAATGAGATTAGCTCAAAGATAATCCAATTAGATTGTTCAAGTTGGTCTGACTGGTTTGAACCTAGGTGGTTCGGTCAAACCCGAAACCCAAACATAGTCAAATGGCTTCGCCGCTTGTGTAAAAATAACATGCATGTAACGTGATTTGAACCTTCACCACTTGTGTAAATAGCAACTACTATTACCACCAAGCTATGACCAACTTATTTGTTAAGAGAGAGTTTCTTTTTTAAGTACATAAATATAAGATTAATGGGTTTGGAGGGGTTGGATTGGGTTAAAGCGGGTTTGGGTTGAACCCAACCCATTTAATTTTATATAATTGGGTCATTAATGGGTTGGCGGATTACATGGGTTGGGTTGAAGCTCAACCCAAACCAAACCAAACCCAATCCGCCCAATTGCCACCACTACCCACAGCCCAGTAAGGCCCTAACTCTTAAAAACACTGTCCCTTTAAAACGTCTTTCTTGGGCCAAGATGCAGGCCCGACGTGAGAAAGGATTGTGTTATAACTGTGACGAAAAATTTGGCCCGGGTCATAGGTGCAAATCTCAGCAGTTCTTTTTACTTCACATGGACGAGCCAGAAGATGATCTAGTGGAGGTCGATGCAGTTGGAGAGGGGCAGGAGGAAGGGGACACTGACAGTGGGGTGCTGGAGATATCATTGCAAGCCCTGACCGGTGGGACCTCAATTCAGTCCATGAGGGTCATTGGGAGGCTCAGAGGTAGGACCATATCAATCCTCATAGACAGCGGGAGCTCCCTCAATTTTATAACTCATGAGCTTGCTCACCAACTAGGTATGACAGTCCTATATACCTCTCCCTTTGCAGTTCATGTTGCCAATGGTAGTAAGATAAATTATGATGGCATTTGTAAAGATGAAAGAATATACATACAGGGCATTACTTTCACCTTGGATCTGCACCCCTTGGACTTTAGTGGGGCAGACCTGGTAGTTAGGCCCAGCATTGTATGATTGGACCACCATGACAATGGATTTCTATATGGAGGGGGGGGTAAACTCTGCCATCTACAGGGTCATAAACCCAAGGAACCCAAAAATGAAAGGGCTTGGGCCTTCCTAAAGCTGTGCAGCACCGTAGCCCAACCCACTTTGCTCCAATTGGACCCACAGCCCATGAACCCCACTCTCTCCACTAAGGGTGACTAGCAGTCGGGCCCAGAAGATATGAGAGCCCTTGAAGGGGTTCTAGACCAGTACACCATAGTCTTTGGTGAACCCACTCAGCTGCCCCCAGACCGAAGCCAGGATCACTGAATTCCCCTACACTACCCGGGAGTAACCCAATCAATGTATGCCCCTACCACTACCCCCATTACCAGAAAATCGAAATAGAAAAGAAGGTGGGGGAACTTCTGGAAAAAGGGCTGATCCGACCAAGTACCATCCCATTTTCTTCCCCAGTACTTTTGGTAAAGAAAAAGGATGGGTCCTGGAGATTCTGTGTTGACTATAGGGCCCTGAACCAAGTCACAGTCAAGGATCGGTTCCCAATCCCCATGATCAACGAATTACTGGACGAGTTGGGCCAGGCCAAGATATTCTCCAAAATGGACCTGAGGTCCAGCTACCATCAGATAAAAGTTCACCAAGATGATGTGCACAAGACAGCTTTCCGAACACACAACGGACATTATGAGTTCACTGTTGTGCCATTCGGGTTGACGAATACCCCCTCCACTTTTCAAGCTGTTATGAATGATCTATTCTGCCCGTACTTACGACGGTTTATTCTGGTCTTCTTTGACGATATACTTGTATACAGCCAGGATTGGGATTCTCATCTCAGGTACTTGACTACAGCCTTGGAGATCCTCAAGACAAACCAGTTCTTCGCCAAGAGGTCCAAATGCACCTTTGGACAAACCCAGGTCCATTATCTCGGACATATAGTTTCTACAGGGCTAGTGAAGGCAGACCCAAAGAAAATCAGGTGCATGCAAGAATGGTCCACACCGCAATCAGTGAAGGCTCTAAGGGGATTCCTGGGCTTAACAGGCTATTACCGGAGGTTTATAGCAGGGTACAGCTGTTAGACAGTTTTGTATGCCCTTAGCTTCAATCAGAATGATGTACTTTATGAGTTTATTATAAATGAATAAAAGTGCATATTTGATTCATGT